ATTTCAAAGAGAACTAATTGAGCTTTTTATAAACTGAAGAATTGATAACGAAATGTGGGCGTTTTTCTCAAAAAGTGTTGATTTCAAGAAGTTTTAGACTTGCATGGTTCGTTTCTGAGTTGCAAAATCGACTCAAACATGACGCTGTTTTTCTCAAAGTTTCTCAGGAACCATTTGAGCTACAAAATTCGTTTTGGCATCGTTGGATAGAGAATTGAAAACTCGATTCAGTCGTAACAACGTGAGTGAGGAAATTTTAGTAGTTTTGACGCAGAAAGCGAAACTTGAATAACAGACACTTAGGTGTAAGGTTTTGCCGAAATTTCATGTTTTTCCTCCCGGTTTTGCTGATTTTTCGGAAGCAAAATGGGCAAGAACGCTCATTTGTACATCATTCTAGGCAGAAATAAATGATTTTTTAGAAAGTGAACCATGGATGGGGAAATGTTGGCAGTTTTCTCAAAAAATGTTTGAATTCAAGAAGTTTTAGATTTGCGTGATTTTTTTTGAGTTGCAATATCATGACCCTCCCCCCCTGGATCCGCCCTTGCCATTAACCATCCTCCAACCATCCAAACGTTTCGGCCGAGAAGACATTTTTCTGAATTGTGTCGAACTTCTTATTTAAAAGAAATAAAAAGAGCTTTTACGACATTTGCAGGAAAATACACGTGCGATTGCCGGCTGACCAATGGAGACAGCGACGCTCCTGCCCAGTTCTAACCCACTTCGTTCGAAATAATAAATTTATTTTTCAGATTCCAGATGGAAAATCTTCAGCTATTATAAAGACAGTAAAGCCGGAGCGATAAAGCTCTGTTTACTTAACCGCCTATATTTATTTGACAGTGGAGCCTTCCATGCCAGGACTCGGATATTTGTTCTGTACTTGACTGTATTTCTTTCGATACGGTTAGATTTACGGCCAGCGGACTTTGGGGAGGTCCTTTACAAACACTGAATCAGCTGCAGCTCGTCTAAGGGTCCTTCTTATTCCAGATGGCACCGAAGATTTATCGATATTGGATACACTTATTGCGGTATAAATTTCCCGTCTTTTCTTCGGATGTTTTAAACTTCCCAAACTTATTGACAGCATCATTATGTGGGAGAATTTATCGCGAAAAATGGCAAATTAAGTCGCAAACTAGCAGCATTCAAGGCCCGTGCGGACCTAAAGAATAGGCATATTAGCAGTAGCTATGAAAGATCTTGCACAGGAGCAACAGAAAAACCACTTTCCGCTATGGGAGTTTTAACTATCTTTTGCTCAAAAAACCCAGTAAATCTTGCTCAAACTATGGCTTGTTATGAAATGGTGTTTTCTTTTCCAGTGTGGATGGCAGGGGCAAGTCCATCTTCCAGGCAAGACACTGGTCAGCTCCAGCTGTGTTTGGGACGAGAGCAAGCTTTAAAACGAGCACTGAACCTGCTGAATTGGTGGTGGAAGATGTGCAGCGTCGCGACGAAGGCGTCTATAGATGTCGAGTGGATTTTCGGAATCAGCAAACCAGAAGCATTCGATACAATCTAACCATAATCGGTAAAACACGTTGTTTATTTAGCAGGGGTTAAGTGATTTGAGCAGCTGTTGGCCGCAAAATCACGTTCCCAATGGGGGTTTTGCTGCAACTAAAAAATCCGTCTTTTCATCCTGATTTGTATTTATAAACCGGCAATTAATCTTCCTTATTAATGAGTGTTGAATTAATATGTAATTACCAAAACCCGCGTTTCTGAAAAGCTGCCTGAGTTTAATCGGTTCAGAAAGCTCATAAATAGCGCGACCCTAAATAAACTTGATAAATGGTAATTTTTTCGGGATTGGTTCTGCGAATTTTACGGTTTCAACTGCTTACGGGCATAAACATGCTGTTTTTGCGATTTACATATAAATCAACTATATAATAGAGAAAGATGAATTGAAAATAAATATTCACAAAGCAACATTAGCAAAATGCAGTGCGAAGATCGCGTGAAACAGTGGAAGTTCAAGTAGTTACTAGACAAAAACGTCATTATTGAACAAAGGAAATTTACAAGGTGATCAAAATTATCAAAGGATTACCGGGATATTCTTTGGTCATTCATGGTCAAAGTGCTTCAAAAAAACATTTTTTGAAATATCAGAACCATAGATGGATTTGATTGAAACTCGCGCAAAATGTGTTCTTCTTTTGATGAAGAAATCGAGTGCATGCGGCAGAAAATGAAAGTTTTCAGTGTTTTTTGGAGTTAAAATGAGGGTCAGCAATCGCATTGGAGTCTAGTGTATTTGTTCTGCCGAGCCCAAATGCCGTGCCCACACGGATTTAGTGGCAAAAACTGAAGAAAACGCTGGTGTTGATTATTTTTGCTTAAGACATTTATTTTCATTTATTTTCCTGATCGCGTGTAATTGTTATTACATTATTTCCTTTCCTGGGCTCCAGTCAAAGTGTCAAACCAAAATTTGCATATCGTTTATTTCATTACGTTTCGGCGAGACAATAGCGCCATCATCAGATTTTAAATTTACACAAACTCATGATTGGTAAAAATCAACGTTCTTTTAGGTCTTTGCCTTCTTGAAACCTTAAATTTGTCTCTTTGAAACATCGTTTACTTCATTACGTTTCGGCGAGACAACAGCGCCATCATCAGATTTAAAATTTACACAAACTCATGATTGGTAAAAATCAACGTTCTTTTAGGTCTTTGCCTTCTTGAAACCTTAAATTTGTCTCTCGAAAGACAAATTTACGGTTTCAAGAAGGCAAAGACCTAAAAGAACGTTGATTTTTACCAATCATGAGTTTGTGTAAATT